TGAGTGTGCATTCACAAACCTGTTCTATAGCCAGTTTCATTGAGGTAGACTGCAAAGGAGCGCGGCTCATGCTGAGCTTGCCAGGAAGGGGACGAACAGTTCTCATTGTTGGTGTAGGTGTTGTGGTTGTGGACGTACTTGCCCGTCAGCATGGAAGAACGTGACGGGCAGCACATGGGTGTGGTGACAAAGGCATTGGTGAAAGAAGTGCCACCATCCTCCATGATCTTGCGGGTTTTATTCATTACCTGTAGAGAACCTGGAGGGCGCGGTAACGTGATCAGTGCTGTACAGTTACAGTGAAATCTTATTAAACACACGCAAATACTGTTTTTCACTCGTATTTACTTAATCTGTGATTCAGTCCTCTGAAAGGCAAATAATTACAATTCAGCACACGAGAGACCAGATGGCCATTCCGGTGTGGCTTATGGCCTCTACTTAATATTTAATGTGCCAAGAAAGACTACAGAAGTCCTGATGCAAATCACCACAAAGACAAAGAAACACATTAGAACAGAGAGGATTGAAGACTGGGGAAAACACTGAATTTTAGATAAACTGTGCGCTTTTTCTTTTAAATAGGGGAAAAAAATAGAAGCCAAATGAAAATTTTCTGCCAGGCAGCCTTACCCAACTCAACATCCTGGTCGTCAGTCATGATGAGGATGATGTTGGGCCGGATGTTTCTGCGGTCTCTCTGAATGCGACCCCTGAGGCCCTGAGCCCTGGTGGTGGTGAAGGCCCAGCTGCCTGGAGCCCAATCCAGCGACAGGAGGGCCAACCAGGACAGCCAGTGAATCAGCATGGTGACTGAAACAACAAGCCAGAGGATGGGTAGATGGAGGAGATTAATGGAGAGAAGGGGAGGGAGAGAACCAGCCGGGCTGCTCACTCACACTTGTGCAGCTCTTGCAGCAGTGATGGACTGTGGGGAGACAAGAGGGGAAAATGTATGGAGACATTACAACAATAAGCATGGTGGGAGGTGAAACTTTAGGGTCAGTTTTGGAGTAGTGGAAGAGAAAACTGCATTACACCTGCAGAAAGCCAGAATCCTTGTTGGAACATTTAAGCATATTTACTTCAGGTAACTTCTGTGTAGATGGTCACAAATCACACTCAAACAGAACAGTTTATCCATAAACAGGGAAGCCAAAACAGATTGGCTTTAGCCCTTAATGGTCCAGCAAGGAAAACTTATTCAGCAGTTCAAATATATGCTGTGTGCAGATGGAAACTCCATTAATACTGAACACAAAATCCCTCAACCTCAACTCCCTGATCTGAAAGAAAAGAAAATACTCAACTCTGTCAAAGTTAAACAAAAACAAATAAACTGAAGATCTAGAAACACAGATCTCACCTCAGAGAATCCCGCGAGTCCCCTACTTTTACAGTTTTCTCTTTATATCTCTCTCTATCGTTTCCTGGTTTTCCACTCTTCTACCGTGTCAGAGAACACACTCGTGCACGGAAAGTCTCCATCCCTACTGGACAGCTGCTGTTTAGCTAACTGTGATGAGATTAGGCCATTGGCTGCACACCCAGAACCACTTGCCTGCATGAGCCAATTGTGGCCCCCCTTTTACCTGCCACTCAAAAGTCACCCCCTGGTGAGTCAAGCATGACACAGGGCCAGTGGGGGGAGAAAAAAGGCACTGGAGGCGGGGAGAGGGTTCCACTACATTAACTGCAACGCCACTGTCGGGAATCACAGATGACCACTGAGTCATCACTTGGCAGCCTCTTGCTCACTATAACAGTCATCATAGCTGAATGCTCCGACTAAATTCCAGTGATCAGTAAAGTAAAATGTATACTAGTACAAACCTGAGCTCAGATTTTATTCCCGTACCAATGAAAAGCCAATCTAAAGAAATTCAAAACATTATACCGGTAGTGTTGTGCTACAAATTAAAGTTAAAATGTAATAAGAATTCAAAGATGCTTTCAAATATATATAAAATATATGTGAAAGAATGGCTTCTGCCTGTGAGGTGAACCGTGATGCAGTAATAATGAGAACCTCATCACCACCTGTGAAAAAGTGCCTTGTGGACAGCAGTCCCACTGAGTGGTACCACACTGCTTCCTATTCTGGGTTAATGGCCTGAAAACAAATGGCAGGTCTATGACACCTGAGCCCGGCCAAACCCCACTGGGTGGCTCCGCCCTTACCATCATTTCCACAAAAGGCCTGTCCGAATCAGCAGAGAGTAATAACCCTAATAAATGATTTGTATCTTTAATGAAGTGTTTTGATCTATTGCATAGCCCAGAATGAACTAACCTGCGTTGTTCGGATGGTTGTCGAGGATGGTAAAGATTCTGTTTGGTAATTTGCATCAGGAAATTAAAACACCTACTCTAGTCGTGTATCAGATAGATGCAAATCATCTCCAACACCTCCCAATGTTGACCCTGCTCTACTACACTGTTTATTTCAGCTGCTTCTCCAGTTAGATGTTAGATATGATAAGCAGAGCTTCAGACAGAGCTTTAAGAGTACTTTGGTGTACTGGGTTTCAGACGAGCTGTGTCTGGACTAGCCAGCCAGCCCAGTCATCGTGACAGCCCTGTGCAAACACTGGCGCCGTTTGGACAAACACCCCTCTGGTGCGAGGTGGCAGAGTGCACAGAACCTTGCAGTGAGCTACACACACAACACAAACTACTTTACAAACACATGGTGACACGCAGAAACTCATAGACGAGCCTTTATCCCACAAAAAACACACTCTCCTGCCGTGTGGATCCAAGTCCTCCTACACAAATTGGGAACGCTTCCCATATACAAGACACATAACCCATATCTAGACTAAGCTCAAGTCTCTGTTTCTATCAGAGCTGCGGAAGACCTGACATCAGCTGTAAGCCAGTCGGCCAGCGAGTGTAATGTTAGCACCCAGCGCAAATTCAATTTTACATGCCAACGATTCCAAGCAATGGCCTCTTCTTGCATCTTAGACAAAACAGACAAGAAGGTTCATTGTGGTGTCTGATGCAAACCTTGTGGTACTCATCTACAGTGGAGTCAATAGCTATTCTGTCTGAAATGACTGAGACCGCAGGGCTAATAAAGTGCCACACAAAACCCCCAATAGAATGAGGGCTGTTATTATGCAGGCCCCCTCCCCGTTTTCTGGACTACCGCTCGTAGTCCATTTCACCTGATCCACTTTGTTCACTAGGCCATCTGAGGTTCACTTAGGAGCAAAAGGACTTGAGTCATTCGATCATCCTTCTCAAAGTGACCCATCATCAAAGAAAACCCAAGTATATGCTGGCATCATATCCTCAGTGCCCTGACTTCCTCATGTTAATGTGACATATGGAGCGCAAAGCCTCTAGAGGAAATGAGCAGCTGAGTGACAGGACATGTCAGAGTGTCGAGATAAGCAACTGCTGTTTATAAAGCAAAGATGGCAGGCTATATTGTGACCTTTAGTTCATGCAGAAAGTTTCCAAATCACTGAGCAAGAGTGAGAAAGAGGCAAAAAAGTGATTTTACTTGATTTAAAAAAAAAAAGAATTAAAAATGTAATTTGCCTGAGGATGCTTAGGAGATATTCCTTCCATGCACCACATCGTGGTGCTTTTATCAGAATAAAAAAAGTAGCCCTGCAGCAATTTCTGCCTCAGACAGGTCCACTCTACATGAAGATTTAATTTGGCTTGTTTTAAATATAGAATACATCCTGTGAGTGCTCTAGAGCAGCACGGTATGCTTTATAGTTTAAATGCTTTATAGTTTAAATGCTTTATTTAAAATGTATAATAAAAACATCTGCTCCAGATTTGAAAGTGTGTCTAAGCGTTACAGACAGGATAGTTTAAACACCTATTTAACTACTGCTAGATGTCAGAATGAACTCCATTAGTTGTGTGTGTACAAACACACATGTGTGTGTATTTTGTTTTGTACAAAAGCTTTACAAAGTGTTACACAGAGTTAACGGCTTCAGGCACATTCAGGGATCGGCATAAATTAGGCACTTCGTACACTTTAAATACTCAAAACAATATGAATGACTTCTGAAATGTGAAAGTTATTATTAGGCTTCCAAATCCATCTTCTGTTATCATCACTGATTCTTTCTTGTCTCCAGAGTTCAAATTCATGTTTCCAATTTCACGATCCCTCGCAGATCATTTTCATGTCATTTTCGCAAACCTTTCATTTTGAATGACTCATTTATTTATGTCATGTAGCGTGATATCAGCAGAACAGGCAACTTCTATACATCTGTGGAGCGAACAAGAGGTCTTTATTACTGGACAGAGTCAGAGGACTAGGGAACACATTGTTTCTCCTTCCTCATTGTTTTGAAGGATTAGCTCTAATGACCCTTTAAATGAGCCCTTACTGTACTCATCATGGTTAAGCTGGGGGGGAGAAATATTGGGCATGGACGGGAGGAACGCAGCATGCCTAGGAGTTCAAAAGGACTGAAACAAAAAGGCCACTATGGAGTTTTCAGATGCACAGCTGCCAGATACATAAAAGATGTGCAATTTTCAGATTAATGGCAATCAACACTTTTAGCACACCTCAACACCGTACTAATCTTTGCTTTCATGAGGGTATTTTTTTCTCCTACTTGTAGAAAAACAGCTCTTTTACTTGCTTTCCTGCAGCACATGCAGCATTGCTCGGTAATTTGGTATGTCTATACAGACAGCTGTGCTTTGTGCACCGAGTAAAGCTGAACATAATAGAGTTGCTGCTTGTGTAGCCATGCAGGGCAGCAGTATTTGGCTGGTTGGCAGTTGTGCCCTCTTGTTAGGGCCTCAAACCACACACTGCTGCGTCCTGACCCTCCTCCGACCTGAGTGGTGTTATGGCTTTGATGGTGGCTTGTTTAACCTAACCTCAGCAACCTGAGGCAACCCACACACAGGGGTTAAGAGGTGAAAGTCTGAAGAGAGAGCGAGAGAAAAAAAAAGAAAACAGAGGTATGAAGGCAACAAAAGTCTTGTCTGGTTGTGATTGGCCCACATTTTCATTTCATCAATGGTCTGCATCTGGCTTAAGTCGTGTTCGTTCAGGAGCGGCAGTCTATACATTTATCAGCTGTGACTGAAAAGTAGCAGATTACCCAAGAGCGCACATGAAAGATTTCTTATGTAAAAAGGCAGGATGACAGCCGAGAGTTTGCGTATCTCTAACAGCCACATGTTTGTCCACGAGCGCATGCATGCTCACAGAGGAGGATCTTGCCCAAGTTAACACAGAGAGTTTGGAGGTGAGGGGGTTCACATTCCCAAAACAAGATGCAAGTCAAACACAAACCAGATGCCATGCTCCTCTAAAGTAAATCAGTCATTCATAAAAAGGCCTTGCTATTAAGGACAATGGCCATTTCAAAGCACCTCAAATCCCCCCTTATTCCTGTTCAGTCTCTCTCTTGCTCCCTCGCTATTTGCCTAGTCCATCTCTATGGCAGCCAAGTCACAGAGGAACAATGGAGGGGAATTATAGTCCAACAGCATAGTTTGAATTCTGTACGCTGCTCTGCGACTGTGGGCTGCATGACTTGCAATAACAGTAAAAATCGTTTAGCACATAGTCATTCCTCTACCATAGGAGAACTGCTGAAAGAAAGAAATAAACATCGCAGAGTCGGGATATAAAACATGCTAAACTACAGGCTGGTCTGATTAACAGATAAAGACACAATGTTTTGCACTCCTTCTTTCAGAGAGGAAAAAATGAATAAGACGAGGACTTAGATTAATATGGAGGTTTGTCCAAATATTTCTGTAATCTGAGGGAATTCAGCTGGTCTGCTGCCATGAGGGCTGACGAG